TATGTATAGTAACTTTTATTTATTTATTTTTCCAAAAGAAATAGTTAATATATTAATGTTACGTTACATGTCTTGCATTGTAATAATTACAGCAAAATCAATAGTAATAGTTCACTTACATTCCGTATTTATATCCACGGTTAATCCCGACATATTATTACTTTTTTTAAATTTTTTGTTTGTTTCCACTAATCCAGATTTTATATAATCTCTACGATTGTTGCGATATCGATCGACAAATATTCCTTTTAAAATCTTTTAGTGTCGCCCTTCATGTAAGGGTGGCACATAATACAATTCAGGTTTTTCATTAAAATAATTAGCTACTTTTATAGCAAGCTCTTTAATGTGCATATTTTTCAATTCAAGCCTAAATTATAAGTAAATATAAATATAAGCAAGTATTACTTTATATTATTTTATAGTATTTTGTTTTATTTATTTTATATTATTCTATATGTTTATTTACTTATATGTATATTTTTTGTGCTTTGTATTATACTTACGGATATGGTTTCTTAGTGATAGCAATTGGTAAATGTGTCATTACTACATCTGCTAATTTTCTACGCATTACTGCATTTAATTGACCATGCGTTTCATAGTGGCTTAAAATGATATAGCCGGTGCTAGTTTCTTTTAAAAATGTTTTCAGATCCTAAGAAGAAAAATTAGTTTTAATATCTTTACACAAATAAACGCTTTTTTATAAATAGAAATATATTTTCTTTAACATAATATATTTAAAATATTTAATTATTTTATTATAATTCCAAAGGCACAACAAGTATTCTAAATAATATACTAAACATAAATACGTACCAGATGACGAATAGCATTGGCAAGCTGAAAATCATCAATTTCGCACACTTCAAATTCTATAAGTTTGTTTTCTTTCTGCTCGATATGTTCCTCTTCATCTGACTGAACAAGTCCCTTTTCTTTATCAACAATTATTTTAATATTGTCAACCTGTACAGTATCAATTATCTCAGCATCACTTGCACGTTCCACAATTATATTTGGAGTAACTGTTTCAGATGTGATATTGTTTGTATCATTTACTGTTACAGGATTACTTGTTTCACATGTTATATCAATTATCTCGTCTGGTGCATTAACTGATATCTTACTTTCCTATAACATATATATATATATATGACACAATATTAATACATATTTTACAAATTTTATTTTATTAACTTTTTTGTGCACTATTGCTATTAATTCGTATTAATTTAGTACAAGAATATTTATTGAAATAAATATTCCTTTAATAAATAAATCCAAAGTGCAGTACAATAAGATAAACAATATATTCTACTTATTCATTTATATTATAGAATTAATTTACCTTGTTATCGAAAATTGTCTCCGTCTGAACTATAGAGTTTTGCAACTTTTCCAAGTTTTTTTCAAACTTTAGTCTTTTGCCTATTTTAGGTATAAGAACCTCTAAGTTTTTTGAGCCAGCTTTTAATTGTAGAAGTGATTCGAAATCAATTTCTTCATCTACACATTAAAATTTTCTTTTACAATGAATGCTTTACAAACGATTTACAATAATTATAAAGTTATTAATTAATTAATTAAAATAATAGACAATGGTCATAAACTCTTGACAGAAAGATAGATTTTATTACATTTTTTGATTTTGTTTAGCTTATATGTGTCTTTGGTCTATACAGTTGAAGACACATAAACTTTTTTTTTACTAGCCTATTTTTAATTTAATATACTGCGGTTTGTCCGCATCGCTTTTTACATAAATATGTGCCAAAAAAATGCGTTCAGCATTTAGTTCACGTTACATATATTTCATTTTCAGAAATAAATAAATACTTTATATTAATTTATTGATACAATTGAGATGAGAATACTAGCCATTGTGTATAGATAAAGATAAATAAATATAGATGAAATAAAAGTCTTTACTTACCCTCAAACAGTTGTATGAGATCAGGAAACCCCCACTGTTTTAATAAATCTTTCACTGCTATATCCATAATGAGGTTATGTGAGGTTTTGTGAGGAGAGAAAGAACGCACAAAAACCTAAACGGTCACTTTAGATGTTAGGTCTTTCTTTGCCCTTGCTTTCTTATTATGCAGTGTCTAGAATAAACAGATAAATACTGACAAGGACGAACAGGTAGATCGACAGGCAATAACCGACAGTCCGCCTAACGCTTGCCGTGCGAAGAACTAAGGGTGCGTTCACTGCGTTCCCCTTATCGCTCGCAACGCTCGTGGAATCATTTCATCCTTGTTGTTTGTCAAATGTTAAACAAGAACGAAATGATGCTCGCGAGCGTTGTGAGCGATAAGTGGAACGCACCCGAAGAAGCTACGTGATAGCCAATAAACTTCTGGGGCCCTATTCTCTAACGAGAAACGTATACGCAAACTCTGCTTTAACAGAAAGGCTGCAAGCTTATTGGCTAAAAACTGTGCAATAGCCAATCAATTTGCAGCCTTTCTGTTAGAGCAGAGTTTGCGTATACGTTTCTCGTTAGAGAATAGGGCCCCTGGTCCTTACGAAAAAGCGGCACGTGATTGGCTACCGCGTGGTTTCTTGCCGCGCGGCAAACGTTTCCGCATCCTGTGTCACCTGTGTGAAGGAGAAGGAGCCATATTGGACGCGGATACGTTTGCCGGTTTCCGCCTGTTCGTCCTCGTCAGTACTTTTCTAGACACTGCAGAGTCTATATAGCAAGAGCAAACATAGAAAGTGATTGTAAACTAATAATAGTATATACTTATTGATACATAAGAAATACCTAACATCTAAAGTGACCGTTGAGATTTTTGTGTGTTCTTTCTCTCCTCACGTAATCTTCACACATTAATGGATGCAGCAGTCGAAAATTTATTAAAACAGTTTTACTGATCTCGACATAAAACTGATGTTTGCAAGTAAGTAAAGAATTTTATTTATCTTTATCTATATTTTATAAACACAATGGCCAGTATTCTCATTTCAATTGCATCAATATATTGAGTATATTTATTTATTTCCGAAAATGTAATATATGTAACGTAAACTGAATGCCATGCTGAACTGTAGAACGCATTTTGTGGCACATTTATCTAAAAAACAATGCGAGAATACGGACAAACCGCATATGTTAAATTGAAAATAGGCTAGTAAAAAAAAAATTTACGTGTCTTCAACCGTATAGACTAAAGATATATTAAACTAAACAAAATAAAAAAATGTGATAAAATCTATTTTGTTATCGACAGTTTATGACCATTGCCTATTACTTTAATTAATTAATTAATCACTTCATATTTATTGTAAATTACTTGTAAAGCTATCATTGTAAAAGAGAATTTTAATGAGTAGGAATACGAAGAAATTGATTTCGAACCACTTCTAATAAGGTTAAAATCTGGCTAAAAAAACTTAGAGGTTTTTATACCTAAAATAGGCAAAAAACTAAAGTTTTAAAAAAACTTGGAAAAGTTGCAAAACTCTATAGTTGAGATGGAGACAATTTTCTATAACAAAGTAAATTAATTCTATATAAATAAAGTAGAATATATTGTTTATCTTATTGTGTACTGCACTTTAAATTTATTTATTAAAGGAATATTTAGTTGAATAAATATTCTTGTACTAAATTAATACAAGAATTAATAGCAATAGTGCACAAAAAAGTTAATGAAATAAAATTTGTAAAATATGTATTGAAGTGTGCAAAATTGATCAATTTCAGCTTGCCAATGCTATTCGTCATCTAGCACGTATTTATGTGTTCAGCATATTATTTAGAATACATTTTGTACCTTTTGCATTATAACAAAATAATAAAATATTTCTAATATACATATAGAGAAAAAGGAAAACGTAGAAATTCCCATAAAATAGGCAAAAAATTAAATTTAAAGCTTAGTAACGTTTCAAAAATCTATATGTAAAACAGAGATATTATTATAATAACAGTAATTTGATATAAATGTAATGGTTTATTGTTCCTCTTATTGTACTACACATAAATTTATTAATAGAAAATTTATTCTAATAAATATAATTTATTACCACTTGACATAATTAATATAACATCCATATCGGTTGGTCCTGTAAACATGAAAAATACAAGACTACATGAGATGGGAATGTTCATCTACTTTTTACGAAGTGGCCAATTTTAAAACATCCGCAGACCATTAATGAATATTTTAGCAGTACTATTGTTATTTCAAAAAGTTTGTAAAAGCTATGTAAATAATCATTTGTAACAATTTTTACAGATCAAATGTGATTATACTACACAATTCGGAAGCGTGTGCTCTGTATATTATAAATAGCTACAGTTTTCACGAGAAGAAAAAAGTATTAGACTCCAAAAATTATTACGCAGCGTTATTAACTAAATCATTAAATTCTTTCATTTTATCAGTAAAAATGTAAGTATTATTTTTATATTTCTCTATATTATACGTAAAATAATTTTATACATGTGCAAATACAATTGCTGCAGTTGAGCTGAAAGTAATGTTTATTTCTTGTTATTCCAGAGTCCCACTGATCTTGAACATACAATAATATTGAACATCAAAGGAATAGAGCAACTGCGTGAAATTTGACTCTGTAACCATTTATTATTTTCGTAGAACGTGACCAAATATGGATTTAAAAAATAGAGACGATAGCGCGTGCGTCAATGAAGATGAAACATTAGCAAATACAAGTACCTTCGATTCTTATAATGTTCAGTTTAAAGGAATACAGGAAGCTGCTGCTTCTTCGTTATCACATTTATATAATGATAATTCTATGACGCGCAAACATGTACAGACAGTTGTAGAGATCACTTCAAATTTAGTGGAAAATATTGTTAGCATGGTAGAAAGTAAAATGAATCAAAGTTTGAATACTTTAGAGGCTCCAGAAGTCATGAAACAAGAATTAGCGTTTTTTTTTTTAATGGATGTAAAAAGCCTTTTTGCGACCTAGACACAGAATATAAGAGAATTAAATATTTTTTACAAAAAGGCTATTATATAGAACCTGTTACTTATACAATTGGACAAACTATGGAAAATAGAAGGATTAACAATATTTTCACCCTGATTCCAAATAATGTCACAAGCCAATTTATTTCTGTAATAAATGTCCTAAAGGCATTATTTGAAATACCTAATGTTTTAAAAGATATAGTCGATTACATGGAACAAGTGAAGAATGATTCACATTGTGTAAGTAATATAATTCAATCAGAGTTGTGGAAACATTTAACCAACAATTTTCATGACAAACTCGTTTTACCATTAATAATTTACTATGATGAGTTTGAGACAAATAATCCGTTAGGTGGTCATGCAGGTGTTCATAAAGTGGGAGCTGTATATTTTTCATTACCATGCATGCCTCCAGAAGCACGCTCAAAACTTGATAATATTTTTTTAACGTTATTGTTTCTGAGTAAAGATAGAGAATTTTACGGGAATGAAGCTACATTTCGACCTTTAATTCATGAATTACAAATGTTAGAGAGGTCAGGATTAGTCACTAAAGAAGGTGTATACATATTTATATAAAATGTGTTCTTGTAATCGGAGATAATTTAGGTGTGCATGAAATTTATGGATTTGTAAAAAGTTTTGTTGCGAACCATCCTTGTAGATTTTGTAAAGCCTCTCTTGATCAAATTAGATATCAAACAGCTAAAGATAAACGATTATTACGTACAGTTAATGAATATGCTAATGACTGGGAAAAAAATGACGTCTCTGTAACTGGTTTAATTGAAATATGCATTTGGAATCAATTAGATTCTTTTCACGTTATACAAAATATGAGTTGTGATATAATGCATGTATTTGAAAGCGTCTGTCAATATGATATGAGTAAATTAATATTACATTTTATACAATCAAAACTGTTTACATTAGACGATCTTAATAGTCTAATAGGTACGTATGATTTTGGTCCTGAAGAAGGAAATCGTCCACCATTCTTAAAAATAGAAAAATTGAAGAGGTTTAGTCTAGGTCTTTCTGCTTCAGAAACAATAACATTTGTTATTCATTTCGGTCTTATTATTGGACATAAAGTCCCTGAAAACAATAATTTTTGGGATTTATACATTTGCTTACACAAGATTGTAACTATATTACTTACACCGTTTTTTACTTCACAATGCATAGAATATTTAGATGCGCTAGTTACTGAGCATCATGAACTTTATTTAAACTTATTTAAAGATACATTGAAACCAAAACATCATTTCCTCCTTCATTATGCGAGCGTTATGAAGTCAGTAGGTCCGTTAATAAATATTTGGTGCATGCGATACGAAGCAAAACACAGACAATCGAAGATTGCTGCTCATATTTCTTCTTCAAGACGAAATTTACCATTAACCTTAGCGATAAAACATCAGTTAAAACTGTGTTATAGACTTTTCCAAAACATTGGTCTAAAAAGACATATATCTTTTGGAAAG